TGGTCCATGGACCACCAGTTGGTGACTGCTGCTTTGGAGAATAGTTTGATTTCCTTTTCTTTGTGTCAGCCCCTTTAATACTGGAAGGCTGCTATCATGTCACCCCTAGTCCTTCTTTTCATTAAACTTTAAATGAAATTAAAATGTGACAAGAAAAGTCATAGAATGGGGCAAAACTCACTTAACAAATTTCTCGCTTAGCAACATAAATTTTGGGCTCCGTTGTGGTCATAAGATGAGGACTGCCTGTAGGTAAAAAGCCTATTATAGGTATTTAAACCTGGAACACGTTACCTGCAGAACACCTCTTGGTAAGAGGTATGTGACACTCTGATAGAAAATTATCAATTCTGCTGTTAGGCATAACCACGGTCTGTTCCCCCCCACACGCCCAACTGATGTATTTTTGCAAAATTGTGCCGAAGACATTGTCTTGTTGTTAGCCATCTCCACGCCGAAATGTATTCTCTTTTACCAAGCTGTCTATTCCTGATAAGCTCGCTGGAGGTGGAAGCTAATCCTTTTGTGCCAAAGGGTTAAAAATACACGCACGCCGGTACGGGGCTCGTGAAGTTAATCATAGTTTTCTTTCAGGGTGGTTTTGAATGCAACAGCAGGCTCCGGGGTTGAACAATCAGCTCTCTGATCTGCTGGCAAAGGAATTGGGAGGAATATTTTATTTTTAAAACCAGGTATTCACCCTGCCATTACAAAGAATCAGAAAACAACAGCCGTCGTTTGAAACAAGACGAGGACCTGAAGGATATTTCTCTCAAGCTCCCCAAGAGCAGAGTTGGAGAAAATGTAATTTTAAGGTTCTGTTGCAATTAATAGGCAGGCGTATAAAATGCAGAGGGCTCTTCGACTTCCTGCCTATAGGTGGTCCTCAATTTAGAAGCATTCATTTAGTGACTGTTCGAAGTTGCAACAGCACTGGAAAAAAGTGACTTATGACCGTTTTTCACACTTATGACTGTTGCAGCAGTAATTGCTCATATTTATGATGGTTGCCGTGTCTCCTTTTACAACCTTCTGACAAGCAAAGTCAACGGGGAAGCCATATTCACCTAACAACCGTGTTACTAAGCATGATTCACTTAACAACTGTGGCAAGAAAGGTGGTAAAATGGAGCAAAACTCATTAACAACTGTCTCAGCAACCGATATTTTTTTGCCTCGATTGTGGTCGTAAATCAAGAACTGCCTGTATTTCTTTCTTGTCTTGCGGCTTGCAATTCCTTTAATACCACCTGCTGCAAAAAAAAAAAGGTCAGAAAATCAGGTCAGTCATGTGACTAATCTGCTTTACCATCAAGAATTATGGCTGTGAGGTGTAGGCTTACTTACTTACTGTACATTGCCTTGTTTTGTTTTTAATGGCTGACGGCTAGTAGGGAGGGAGATGGGATGTTGAAAGAAAGAAAGAAAGAAAGAAAGATAGATAGATAGATAGATAGATAGATAGATAGATAGATAGATAGATAGAGATAGAGATAGATAGATAGATAGATAGATAGATAGATAGATAGATAGACAGACAGACAGACAGACAGACAGACAGACAGACGTAAAAGATAGATAGATAGATAGATAGATAGATAGATAGATAGATGAGAGAGAGAGAGAGAGAGAGAGAGAGAGAGAGAGAGAGAGAGATACCATGTTTCTCTGAAAATAAGACCCTGTTTTATATTTTTCTGAACCCTGAAATAAGCGCTTGGTCTTATTGTCATGCACTTAAAAGCCCTATTGGCTTATTATCAGGGGATGTCTTATTTGGGGGGGGGGACAGGATAGATAGATAGATAGATAGATAGATAGATAGATAGATAGATAGATAGGCGAAAGATTTATACGACCCTAGACTGGTGGACCTACCTGCAAATAAAATCAAGATACCAGAAAGATAAGGATGAATATGGTTTAGAATTAGGAAACAACGGATTAGACAAAATTTTGATGGGACCAGGGAAAAAAACGTTGGCCAAACTATATAATTACTTATTAGATGAAGACAGAGATGAGGATATAATTAGAAACCAATTGAGAGCATGGGAGAGTAATATTGGGCACAGTTTGAACTTTAATGAATGGGAAGAGGCCTGGAATAAAAACTATAAATTAACTAGAGCAGCCATTTACAAGGAAAATCATTACAAAATGCTCCATAGGTGGCATTTAGCACCTGCAAGACTAGCAAAGATGTTCCCCAATGTGCACCCAAATTGTTGGAAATGTGGTCATGGTCGGGGCACCTTCTTTCATATGTGGTGGACATGCCCCGAAGCAAAAAGATACTGGAGCAAAATTCGGAGATGGTTGAAAGACATAATTAGAGAAGAAATCGATTTGAATCCAGAAATATTTCTCCTGGGAATGGTAAAGAAAGGGCATGGAAAGGAAAAGGTCCACCTCCTAATACACATAACTACAGCTGCCAGACTGGCGTACGCTCAATACTGGAAAAAGAAAGACCCACCACCAGACGACCTTATAATTAGCAAAATATTAGAGTGTGCAGAGATAAGTAAATTAACACATGAGATAAATGATGACGAAAATTCAGACTATGATACTGTGTGGGGAAGATGGTACGAATGGATAAATGATAGAATCAAGGAAGGAGTAAAAGGTGTAGAAATTAATTAGAAATGTATAGTATAAGTGACACCAAATCCTTTTTTCATGTATTTAATTTTAATTTAATTTAATTTCCAATTTATATACCGCCCTTCTCCCTGAGGACTCAGGGCGGTGTACAGCCAAGATAAAAAACATAGAATACAAATATTAAAACATTTAAAAATATATATAAATTTTGGCCCGAAAGTTAAGAATCACAAACTAATTAAAAGAATTTAAAAATTTCTTCTAAGCCAACCCGGCTTGCTGAAAAAGATAGGTTTTCAGGGAACGACGGAAGGCATTGAGGTCATGGATTCTTCTTATCTCCGGGGGCAACTGATTCCAGAGGGTGGGAGCCCCCACAGAGAAGGCCCTCCCCCTGGGGGTCACCAGCCTGCACTGTTTGGCTGATGGCACCCTGAGGAGGCCCTCTCTGTGGGAGCGCACGGGTCGATGGGAGGTCGTCGGTAGCAGCAGGTGGTCTCGGAGATAACTAGGTCCTATGCCATGGAGCGCTTTAAAGGTGATAACCAACACCTTGAAGCGCACCCGGAAGACCACCGGGAGCCAGTGCAGCTCGCGCAGGAGCGGTGTTACATGGGAGCGCCATGTTGCTCCCATCACTATCCGCGCTGCTGCATTCTGGACCAGCTGGAGCCTCCGGGTGCTCTTCAAGGGGAGCCCCATGTAGAGAGCGTTGCAGTAGTCAAGGCGAGAGGTGACGAGGGCGTGAGTGACTGTGCACAAGGAATCCCGATCAAGAAAGGGCCGCAACTGGCGAATCAGGCGAACCTGATAAAAGGTCCCCCTGGTAACAGCCGTTAGATGTTCCTCCAAGGACAGCTGTGTATCCAGGAGGACTCCCAGATTGCGAGCCCTTTCAGTGGGGGCCAAAGACTCGCCCCCAATAGTCAGTGATAGAGTCAACTGACTATATCGGGATGCCGGGAGCCACAGCCACTCAGTCTTGGAAGGGTTGAGCTTGAGCCTGTTCCTCTCCATCCAGATCCGCACAGCCTCCAGGCACTGAGACATCACTTCAAGGGCATCATTGGGGTGGCCTGGGGTGGAGATGTACAGCTAGGTGTCATCAGCGTACTGGTGGTATCTCACCCCAAAGCCACGGATGATCTCGCCCAGCGGCTTCACATAAATGTTGAACAGAAGGGGCGAGAGGACCGATCCCTGCGGCACTCCACAGATGAGAGGCCTCGAGGTCGACCTCTGCCCCCCTGCCAACACAAACTGCGACCGGTCGGAGAGAAAGGAGGAGAACCACCGCAACACAGTGCCTCCCACCCCCAACTCTTCCAACCGGTGCAGCATGATACCATGGTCGATGGTATCAAAAGCCGCTGAGAGATCTAATAGGACCAGAACAGAGGAATAACCCCTGTCCCGAGCCTTCCAGAGATCATCCACCAACGCGACCAATGCCGTTTCCGTGCTGTGCCCAGACCTGAAACCCGACTGGAACGGATGTATATATGTACAAACACTGCGAATCCGATGTCAAACAGAATTGTTATTATATTTTAGTTGTGTTAAAAGAAAAACCAATAAAGTGTTCAAAAAAAAAAATGATTGATTGATAGATTAGATGATTGATACAGGGATAGATAGGTAGGTAGATGATATGGGTGGATGGATGGATGGGTGATGATAGTGGATGGATGGATGGATGGATGGATGGATGGATGGATGGATGGATGGATGGATGGTGGATGGATGGATGGATGCATGAGTGCTGATAGATGAGAGCTGTTCATGCATCTTATCTTTCTTTTAAGAAAATGCAGATATATGGGCTAGGACATCTCTCTGGCTGTTTGCTCCAGAGTTATACATTAATAGTGGGTCTACTAATAGGGGAGGGGTTGACCAATTAGAGGCATAGTTCACAAAGAGGTTGATTTCAATGGTTTTTATAATCCAACTAATGTCGTGAGCTTCTCAGCTTCTATTCTATTCTTAGCTGTCATTCAAGAACCCTGTGAGGTGGGTTGGGGTAAGGGAGAGTGACTGGCCCAAGATCATCTAGCCAACTTTCATGTTTAAGGTGGGACTAGAATTCCCAGTCTCCTGGTGATTGGCCCAAAGTCACCCAATCAGCTTTCGTGCCTAAGGAGGAAATAGAACTCCCAGCTTCTTGGTTTCTAGGCCAGCATCTTATCCACTACATCAAACTGGCCCTCCCCTGGCTGAGGATGATGTATATTGTGTCCAATATATCTGGAGGATGCCTAGCCTGAGTAAGATTGTTTTATCTTCTATCGATAACTGTAATCAGTCAATTTGGCTAAAAAAAAAAAAATAATAAAAAGGAAACAAACTTCACAATTACCGTCTCTCTTTCCCCTTTGCTTTTATTGTAGGGCGAAAAAGTAAACTATGAAAAATTCAGATCCTGGCTGTTGCACAACAAAGAAGCTTTCACGTTTTCCCGCTGGCTGCTCTCCGGAGGAGTGTATGTCACACTCACAGATGACAGCGACACCCCCACCTTCTATCAGACTCTTGCTGGAGTCACGCACTGTAAGTAGCTATCTTTTGTAAGAGCTGACGGCTTCTTCTTCTTCTTTTTTTTTTTTTTTTGCCACTGAGCCAAACAAGCTTCGATGAATGAATGTGTGGTTTCTCTTTGAGATTGTTCAAGGGTCACAATCTTCTTTGGGGCAAAAATGGATGCTTTCGGTAGTTATTCTGCCCTCTTCCCTAGGACCTTCTGTGCTGCCTTGCCTGTAAAGCGGGGTGAAATTTACTTACCTTCCCTACTGATTTGGAAGTGTGCGCTTTGCGCATGTTACGTGCAATTTTGGACCCTATGCACAAAGCTTTCTGTGCATGTGCAGAGGGTTAAAAAAACGACTGGGCGGGTGGGCGGAGCCTCGCCCTGCTGCCGCTACCAGTTCTCCGAACCATCCGCCGCCACCACTACCGATTCGGCCGAACTGGGCCGAACCGGTAGCATTTCACCCTGCTGTAAAGCATGTGTCTTTAAAGTTCTGGAATTATAGGTTTGGCTACGTGTGCAAATAGGTTTGATCAATTTCGACTGCCCCAAAGAAGAAGGGGTCAACCTATTGTCCAAAACAACTGAAGTCAGAACAAGAAGCAATGGATGGAAACTAATCGAGGAGAGATCCAACCTAGAAATAATGAGTAAATTCCTGAGAGTTAGGACAATTAATCAGTTGAACGGCTTCCCTCCAGAAGTTGTGGGTGCTCCATCAGTGAGGCTTTCAAGAAGAAATAGGACAGCCACTTGTTGGAAATGATGTAGGGCAGGGCTCCCCAACCTCCGAGGTGTAGACCAGAGGTAGGTTACAGTAGGTTCTGACCAGTTCTGGAGAACTGGTAGCAAAAATTTTGAGTAGTTTGGAGAACCGGTAGTAAAAATCTGACTGGCCCCGCCCCCATCTATTCTCTGCCTCCTGACTACCAGCTGATCGGGAGGAAATGGGAATTTTACAGTATCCTTCCCATGTCACACCCACCAAGCCACACCCACAGAACCGGTAGTAAAAAATTTTGAAACCTACCACTGGCATAGACCACTACCGGGCTGTGTCCTATTCGGAATTGGGCTGTGCACGTAACTGGCCAGAGGGCATGCACAGGCACACTACTTGTGTGAGTGGCGGGCCGGTGGCACTTGGGCAGGTGCGTGCCAACCCACTGCTTGCGCATGTCAAACTGTGCACATGCGTGTCGGCCCGCCGCTTGTCCAAGGGCTGCTTGCATGCGTCCACACCAACCCACCACTCATGCAGCCTACTTCCCCTCTCCCCCCTCAGCAGGACTGCCAAGGCACAAAGGTTGGGGACCAACTGGCATAGAGTCTCCTGCCTGAGAGAAGGCATGGGGAGACGGGTGGACCAGCTCAGCTGGAGTTTTCACAGTTGTGTAGCTCAATTTGCCTGAAATGATATATGGTTTCCTGCTTGAGCAGGGGGTTGGACTAGAAGATCTCCAGATCTCCCCTTCCAACTCTATTATTCTGTAATTCTGTAACTTGTTCATAATAGCTCGGTTTGGGTGAAAGAAAAGGTACTTATTTACTATTGCCTTTTCGAGGTGTGACTTGTGCTGCATCAAAGCTGTGGTTTGGAAGCAAGCTTGCATAACTGAATGTTGTTGCGAATCCAGGTAGGATTGTCATCCTGTGTCCTTGCTCTTCCCTGCAGCATTTCCTCGCTGTGATAAATAATAGTGCATCCTTGGATGCTCAGCAGGTAGAATTATTCATTCCTGTCTTTTGTTTATATCCTGGTTTTTTTCTACTAGCCCCCTTCCCCCCCACCTGAGATAATGTACTTGATTTCTCTCTTTTCTTTCACCAGTGCACCAACCTGTACATGGTTGGACAAGAATTAATTAAGGAAATAATTATGCCAATAGAGGCTGTTCTTGACTTCTGGCTATTTGTTTAGTGACCGTTCGATATAAGGCCGTGATGGTGAACCTATGGCACGAGTGCCACAGGTGGCACGCGGAGCCATATCTGCGGGCACGCAAACGTTGCCCTAGCTCAGGTTGACTCAGCCTTCCATCCTTTCTAAGGTAGGTGAAATGAGGACCCAGTTTGTGGGGGCAATAAGCTGACTTTGTATAAATATACAAAAGTATGAAGGCTATTGCTTAATGCATTGTAAGCCGCCCTGAGTCTCCGGAGAAGGGCGGCATATAAATCAAATTTAAAAAAAAACAAAACGGCAAATACCACCTCTGGCTGGCCCAAGAATGGGGTGGGAATGGGGATTTTGCAGTATCCTTCCTCAAGAATGGGGTGGAAATGGAGATTTTGCAGTATCCTTCCCCTGGAATGGGGAGGGAATGGGGATTTTGCAGTATCCTTCTCAGGAGTGGGGTGGGAATGGAGATTTTGCAGTATCCTTCCCTGGAATGGGGTGGGAATGGGAATTTTGCAGTATCCTTCCCAGGAGTGGGGTGGGGAATGGAGATTTTGCAGTATCCTTCCCCTGGAATGGGGAGGGAATGGATATTTTGCAGTATCCTTCCCCAGGAATGGGGAGGGAATGGGGATTTTGCAGTATCCTTCCCCAGGAATGGGGAGGGAATGGGGATTTTGCAGTATCCTTCCCCTGGAGTGCAGCGGGAATGGAGATTTTGCAGTATCCTTCCCCTGCCATGCCCACCAAGCCACGCCACGCCCACCAAGCCACGCCCACAGAACCGGTAGTAAAAAAAAATTGGATTTCACCACTGCTTCCAGCCCTATGATTCTATGTTCCGTGTTCTATATTGATCATTCCTAGTCTAGATTATTTTCTTTTAAACAAAGAAATTATGAAAACACCCCCTCCCCAAATATTGCTCTCCTCCCTCTTTGTGATTGGTAGCAAGTTGTGAAGGGACTGCACTTAGTGCATTGCCTCTTTTCTTTCACAGCCCCAAAAGTGAAGCTTCTGGTTAGGCGCTTATCTGCCTGTAAATTGGAGGCTTAAGACAGCATTAAGAGGCCACGGGGCCCTCCGTTCCCCCTCCTATTTGTGTGGTGCTTATCTCTATTATTGTACTCCTGATTTCCCCCGGGAGAGGGTCATAAAAATGTCGCTTTGCTCCATGTGGCACTCAAACTGCATTGGAACAGAAAATTGGAATAATCCGAGATATCGGGGGACAGGGAGCATGAAATTAATAAAGCTAGTCCGAAACAGGAAATCGCATGAATGCGAACCTAGTAACAGGATTCCCAGGAGAGGCCAGGAAAAGAACTGTTAGGATACAACATCTGCCAGGTGTGCAACAGATTTGAGAGAATCCTCCCAATCCTGGAAAGCGTGCTGTGGAAAATTTGGGTTAATGTTAGTTTTGTAGGGTTTTTCTCACTTCCCGTTGATTGAAAATCTCCAGTTGTTCGAAACGCACAGGGAAGTATATCCGTTAAAAACGCTCCTCTGGAATTTAAAACAATTAGCCCCTTTTAATAATTTAAAAGGACCCAATGGCTCAGTAGCTAAGACACTGAGCTTGTCGATAAAAAGGTCGGCAGTTCAGCGGTTCGAATCCCTAGTGCTGCGTAACGGGGTGAGCTCCCGTGACTTGTCCCAGCTTCTGCCAACCTAGCAGTTCGAAAGCACATAAAAAATGCAAGTAGAAAAATTAGGGACCACCTTTGGTGGGAAGGGAACAGTGTTCCGTGCGCCTTTGGCGTTGAGTCATGCCGGCCACATAACCACGGAGACGTCTTCGGACAGCGCTGGCTCTTCGGCTTTGAAACGGAGATGAGCACTGCCCCCTAGAGGCGGGAACAACTAGCACATATGTGCGAGGGGAACCTTTACCTTTATCTTTACCAGTGGTGGGATTCAGCCAGTTTGCACCACTTCGGGAGAACCGGTTGTTAAATTTCTGAGCAGTTTGGTGAACTGGTTGTTGGAAGAAATCATTAGGGCAGAGAACTGATCGTTGAATTAGTTGAATCCCACCACTGACCTTTACCTTAATAATTTAAACAATACAGCCAAAAGACGAACAGAGGTAGATGCAAGCATTTCGTATTGACTCATCAGTACCTACATTACAATAACACGGTTCAAATCAGCCTCAAATATAAGATGTAGCAAGAGCATGAATTAAGCCTATAATGTATGCAGAAAAGCAACCAATGGCAAGCCTTACGCTCCTCTAGAATTAGCATATAGGCTAATTTGATTGCAATTCCTGGAGCATATATGAGGAATACGGCGGCTGTCCAATTTTGAAGACAAATCTATTGGAAAGTGGAGTTAAAAGTCTGGGATTATGGCTAAGAGTTAAAAAAAAAAAAAAGGAAATTGGCCATAAATATCCAAGATGGCTTAGCATTTCAGACATCTGGAACCGTTTAACATTAATTTCAACTCCAGCAATCTTTTGGAATCGAGCTGTTTATTTTGTCGCCTTCTGAAATGCTTCATTTGGAAAAAAAAAAAGAAAACAGGATGCTTTGGTTTTGGTTTAACATTAAGAAATCAGTTGTTTTGGTTTCTTAATGTGGGTTAAGTGAACCTGGCTTCCCATTTTAACTCTGCCTGTCAGAAAAGGTGATCACACTGTTCAATTAAGACAGGTAGGCCTTGATTTACAACCACAACTGTCCCCCCCCCCAATTTCCACTGCTAAGCAAGACAGTTGTTAAGGGAGTCTTGCCCCCATTTTACAACCTTTCTTGCCACCGTTGTTAAATGAACCACTCCGGTTGTTAAGTTGGTTTCACGGTTGTTAAATGAATTTGGCTCCTCCGTGGACTTTGCTTGTCAGGAGGTCGCAAAAGGGGATCGCGTGACCCTAGGACACTGCAACCATCATAAATACCCTGTTTTCCCAAAAATAAGACCTAGCTTGGGTTTTTTTTTACTTGTGCCAAAATATAAGCCCTACCCCCAAAATGAGCCCTACTTAAGAGCCTGCACAGCTACCCGTTTCGTTTGGTTGCTTGTGGTGCGGCAGCCAAGAGGTGAGGTGGTAACATAAGTCACTTTATCTTTCTTTTCTTTTTTTTAATAAAACCTTTATTGTTAAAAAAAAAA